GAATACAGGCACTTGACCCTTGGTGTAGCTTCTGTTCAACTTTATATCACGGGAATGGATTGGTCTGATTTCTTGGCCCTCATCTTAAATTGGCCATATTCAGGGTCCCTGGCCAGTGGACTGAAGGCTTTGTCTAAGATGACAAGGGTCAGCTCAGGGGATGTGGGGGAGGGCGCTTTTAACTTCCCCGTTGTCGTTTGAGGTTTTGATCTCTGGGTAAAGAGGCCATTTATCTTTGTAAACACAAAACATTTTGCTTTCTCCAGTTTTCTGTTAATGGCGAAAGAATGGAAGCGAATAAAGTTTTACTGATTTTTGAGACACTAGCACCTAGCGCTTTCATTATTGAAACGTCCTGCGTGGGAGGGGCGGGTCTGGGTGCGGCCTGCCGCGTGACTCCTGGGTCGCATGCCCACGTGGCTGGGGCGGGGCTTGGGCGCCCGAGGCGCATACTGATTACGTAGCGGGCGGGGCCGGAAGTGCCGCTCCCTGGTGGGGGCTGTTCATGGCGGTTCCGGGGTCTCCAGCATTTTTCCCGGTGGACGTCCTAAATCCTTCTGAAGCGGGGGCAGAGGAGCTTGAGGTAGGCCTCTGACGTTCAGGGCGTTGGGCTTTGGAGCACACAGGCTTCCCGTGCATGCCCGGTATGGAGCGGAATCAAGGAACCGGAGACAAAGGCCTTGGGCGGGGGTTCCTCCTTTGGGGCCTTACGTGGGGCGTTCTGTGGAAACGATGGGAAGGGGTCGCGGCCAGAGACCGCCCCAGGGCTGAGAAGAAGTACACAAGCAGTAGAAAGGGGGGGGTTTCCTTTACCTTAAGCTAAGGGCGGAACCCAAGCACAGTGGAAAACTAGACTCGGGTGGGAGTAGCAAGAAGCCAGAAATCCGAAGCCCACACTAATCTGCAAGTATTTTTGTGTCCCTGAATCACTTTGTGAAGTTAAGTGGAGGGGAACATGTATGGAACTAATACACTTCAAACTCTTGTTTTAGTTAGTGTTGATTTTAGAAGCTTTGAAGTACTGTAGATTTAGCTTTCCACTTAATCTCAGTTGCCGGTTTCCCACAGGTTCTTGCTGGTGTGAAATGACCGAGTACAAACTGGTGGTGGTTGGAGCAGGTGGTGTTGGGAAAAGCGCACTGACAATTCAGCTAATCCAGAACCATTTTGTGGATGAATATGATCCCACCATAGAGGTGAGGTCTACCAAGTGACCCTAGCTCTAATAATCAGTTTTCCCCTTACCCATTTCCTTTATCCTTTGTAAGTAAATCAGAACAAAAAGTAATTTTAGATACTGCATTCAGTGATGCAATAAAGTAAAACTTTGTTGAGTTTATTAGCTGCTGAAGGTTTTCTTTAAAAATTTAGTTTACATCAGTTCTCAGTGTTGAATTTATTCAATTTCTTTGTATATGGCAGCTCTGTTAAATAGAAACGCATGGAGCCAAGCATGATAGCCCGCCCCAGCCACTTGGGAGGCTGAGACAGGAGTATCACAGGCTCTCAGCCAGGGCGGGCTACATAGCAAGACCTGTCTCACAGTGTGTGTGATAGGAGTGAGGGGGTCCCGGGGATTAAATAGAAATGCTTACCACAGGTAAATAGATTGATTTTGTAGAAGAAACAGGATGGAGATAAAGAATTCACAGATCTGGATATTTTTCAATTCTCATTTCTTTGCTAGGAGAGGCTACTGAAATTTGAATTGGAGTAGAAACAACTTGAGATTTTGAGACACTGTGCCTAGGATTGCAGTCCCCGTTTAAAGGTTATTTAGTTTTGTGATATTGAGGAAATCTCTTAACCTAATTTTCTGCATGTATTAAAATGCCATGAACTTTGTCCTGCCTACCACACAAGAATATTGTGAAATATCAAATAAATGTTTAAATTATTTGTGAATGGTAAAGCATCGCTTATTAATATGTACTTTAGGGTTCTTTTGTTATCTTGGGAGTTCATGTTACAGATTGGCTTCAATAAGTGACATTTAAGACTCTTTAAATGAAAAATTTTGTAGTTCTGCAACTTAAAAATGTCTAAATGATCCTGCCGTGGTCTCATCTGCCAGCTGGCTACTGAATGTTTAATGCAAACTAATTCTGATATATTCACTGTTAAAAATTGATTGAAATGTTTTCCAGAGTTTTATTTATTGAGGGGTAATTTTCTTAAATAAAATATATAAATCTCGTGTGTGCAGCTCAGGTTATATTTGTATACACCCATGTAACCACCACTCAAACTTAACAATATAGAATGTTCCCAGTACCATAGAATAGTTCTTCCAAGTGTGACATTATTGAAGCACAAAATATTGCCATAAAGCCAAATTGGAAGTTTTTCACATTTTGCTTTTTCAGTAATAAGGACTGAACCCAGAGCCTGGTGCATGCTAGGCAAGTGCTCTACCACTGAGCTATACTCCAGCCCTTCATTTTGAGACAGGGTCTCACTAAGTTGCTGAGGCTGACCTTAAATTTGCAGTCCTCCTGTCTCAACCTCCCTAGTAGCTGGGATCATAGGTGTGCACTACCACACCCCACTAGAAGTATTTTTTTATATGATTATATGTATATATGTCTTTCTTCCTGAGAAATTAATTGTACCTTGTTTGGAAGCTAGGAATTTGATTCAGGAATATTTCCCAAAGGTACAGTCTGTTATGATGAGAAAAACATTTGTGGTATTGTAATCTCCCTGCAACAAAAGGTATTTGTATATTTAGTCATAACACAAATGATTCATTATCCAGGGCTAGGTTAGTTATGTTTAAAATCTTAAAAGCAAAATAAACAGCTCAAGTAAAACCATCTAGTTCATAGTTTAGTAAAATACAGTATGAATGAACTTAATCTCTGTAGTTTTCCTAACTGCAATAGAGCTGTCATTTGAACTTATTTATATATTATATCTATGTACATATACTTATATATTACATCTGTGTACATATATAGATGTATTATATATTTCATCATACATATATATAGTTATAAGTAAATATATGTAATAAAATATAAATATAAACTATATATGTATATATATACACAGATATATAGATATATAGATATATATACACTTTTTTCTCTATCTTTTCTAGAAACAGACTGGCCTCGTTTTCTGTTTAAGATTTGGAGCTTTTTCCTAAGGTGACATTAATACATTTGTGATTATATATTAACAGTTTGAGGGACAATTCAGATAAACAGAAATGGTTTTGAATAGTTGGCTTATTTATCCTTGACAGTAACATTGCATGCCCTGTGGTTTTCAATAAAAATTGAATTTCCCTCTCTCCCTGCCTCCCAACCCTCCATACTCCCAGGATTCTTACCGAAAACAGGTGGTAATAGATGGTGAAACCTGTCTATTGGACATACTGGATACAGCTGGACAAGAGGAGTACAGTGCCATGAGAGACCAATACATGAGGACAGGCGAAGGCTTCCTCTGTGTATTTGCCATCAATAATAGCAAATCATTTGCAGATATTAACCTCTACAGGTACTAGGAACATTATTTTTTCTGAAAGGATGATCTTAAGTGTGTTCTTCTGAAGTTTTGTGGGAGAATGAGGATACCTTACTTAGGGAAGATACAGCTTTTTAATTATGGGAAGAGTTGGTTTTAGGTCGTTTGACATTAAGATTCTGAGGTTTTTACTGAAATACTGGAATTCTGTATAGTATACTGTTACTGTAGTGTTTGGTAATATATAAATGAGACTTGCTACTGTTTGACAATACATAAATGAGACAGTTCAAGTAGAGATCATAAAGGAATTTCAGAGAAGTGTCTTTTTGGAAGAAATAGACAAAATGATAGGAAGAAACAAATAGGGTATAGATCAAAAATGGAAGAAAGTCAAAGGAGCATAAAGATGGACTTTCTCTCTAGAACCATAAAATTTCAAAGCTAAATTGGATTATAAAAATTTCTAGTGCAGCGTTCTTATTTTACAAAATTAAAGAATTCAGAAAGTGGTTTATTGGGTTTTTGGAGTTGCACTGTTAGTAGACCCAGGCCCAAAAATCCAGGGCTCCTTTTTCATAGCTCAATATTTAGGCAGAAAATATAGTGGTTAAGAATATGGACTCTGAATAGGTTGAAATTGAGCTTCATCATTTATTAAGTGTGTGACTTTGGGGCATACTACTGAATCTTGTGTCCTGTTTTCTTATCTATAATGAGATAATGGTATCTACCTGTTAAAGTTGTGAAGATTAAACAAATTAAAAAGTATGTAAATCACTGGGCACCGTGAGTATGTAAATCACTGGGCACCGTGGCTGGTGAATGCCTGTAATCCAAGCGGCTTGGGAGGCTGAGGCAGGGGATCGCAAGTTCAAAGCCAGTCTCAGCAAAAGCAAGGTGCTAAGTGACTCAGTGAGACCCTGTCTCTAAATAAAATACAAAATAGGGCCGGGGATGTGGCTCAGTGTTAAAGTGCCCCTGAGTTCAATCCCCAGTACCCACCACCCCCCACAAAAAAAGTATGTAAATCACTTAGAAGAGTACTTGGCCCATGGTAAATACTTTGTAAGTGTTCTGCTTTGAGTCCTGGCTTTTTTTCCCCAATTTGTGAAGATATTTGCTCTCAGAAGCAAACTGATCCACAACTGAATTCAATGTTTTGTTTTGGTTTTTTCCTAGACCTTCTTTACTTCCCATTTTCCTTTTCTCTGGAAGTACTCTTAGTATCCTCAGCTCTCTGTATCTGAATGTTCCACATCCTCAGATTCAACCAACCTTGGAAAAAATAGCTTCTGTACAGAACATCTATAGACTTGTTGTCATATTATCATTCCTAAACAATATAAACAAATATTTTCAATAGCATTTATATTGTATTTTTATCAGTAGTTTAGAGATGACTTAAGTATAGATGAAAGATGTACATAGATTATATGCAAATACTATACCATTTTATATAAGAGATGATCATGAGATTTTTGGCATAAATTGTGGGTGTATCCTGGAACTAGTTTCCCATGAATATCAAGGGATGACTGCACTTAAAAAGTGCCCAACTTTTGGCAAGCATCTAATAAATATTCATTGAATTTCTAGAAGTCATTTTCTTTTTCCTTAGAATTTTCTTCTACCTTACATTTTTCTATCTGTGCCCTGCCCTAGTCAAAAGAGTATTTAAAGCATCTTATAAAAATGCCTGTATAGCAAGATAAACTAATGAAACGGGCTTAAGGAGGCAAAGCGAAAATAAAGAGGAGTTAGGGATGAGCTTATTTTGTAACTGTATTTGAAGCCAGTGACCTTGAAGAGTTAGACTACAAATTTGTCAGCTGTTGTGAAAAGAGAAGCTAAAAGATGCAGGATCTGCTGAAAACAAATCAGTTGCTCAGAAGAAGCAAAATTATACTGACACCAGAAAAAATTATTGCTCTGATCTTGAAAGAGTGTGGTTTAATGTAAAGAAGAGTAGTAACCTGACACAGTGACATGTTCCAGGTACTTTAGGTTGTCCTGTAATATCTCTTAACATAAGCTACTACCATCACACCTATAAATAGTTCTCCAGACAGCCAGTGGAATGCAGTTTAGATACAAGATTTTGTAATTCAAGCTAGAATTTAGAGCAGTGGTGCAGTATGGTAGCCACAGCAAAATGTGGCAGTTTATATTCAAGTTAAAATGAAGTAAAATTTGAAAATTAGCTTCTTGGTTGCATTAGAAAATGAGATAAAGTGCTCAATAGCTACATATGACTGGTGACTACCATGTTTAACAATATAAATAGACCATTTCCAACAGCACAAAAAAGTTTTATTGGGCAGTGTTGGTGGAGAGAATCTGGAGCAATAACTTCCAAACTGTGGTAGGTCTTAGCATTGTCACTGAAGAGAGTGCTTGCTATCTTTGGGAGTTCCAGATTTCTTCAGTCCCCCAACCCCTTTATTAGGATCAGTCTGGTGTTTTCTCATTCATATCTTAGATTTGAAACTATAAATTTGTTTGAGAAAACGATTTGGGTGCCTCCTGTCTTCAAAGTGGATTATCTATTCATTAAATCTTGTCATTCCCCAGGGAATGTAAAAAATTTAGTAGCTTTATTTTTTTATACTTCAAACCTTAATCTAGAGTATGATTTCTAGTGACAGTTAATCCAGAGTCAATGTCTTTGGAGAATCCATGAGCTGAACTAGGATGTACATCAGGATACACATAGAACAGCCATCCATTTCTATTAGAATATGAACTAGATTTACAACTTCCCTATGGCTACCGCACCAAGTCTAAACCAATCTCCTTGATATACAAGGTCTTGTATAAGTGGTCAAAAAAATGTGAAATTCAATACTAGAAGCTAATAGAACTTGCCAATTTCTCTTTTGCCTTACCATTCTATTCCTTCTTGAAAGTTTGTTTTCCTTACGTTGTTATGACATATTCCCTGTTTTAGGGAGCAGATTAAGCGCGTAAAAGACTCAGACGATGTACCTATGGTGCTGGTAGGAAACAAGTGTGATTTGCCAACAAGAACAGTTGACACAAAACAAGCCCATGAATTGGCCAAGAGTTATGGAATTCCGTTCATTGAAACCTCAGCCAAGACCAGACAGGTATGGTAGGGCTTTGAGCATCTTTGCAAGAATTTGTTAAGATGTGATTCACATTCCTTGTTTTAGATTTCTAATTATATCCTTTTGTTGTTGTTAATTTTCAGTTTAAACCCAAAATGAATTTACCTAATGTTCTAGTATGGCATTTTTATTCCTGCATTAACAGGCACACATATTTCTAATGAAGACCCTTGATTTAAAATATTTATGAACATTAGCCCTTTTCCCATCAGCACCAATCACTGTTAGGGCTTAAGCCCTCCTGAATGGAATCATTAGATCTGGTAGTTTTCTGTGTGTCTCAGTGTTACCCTTTTTCCTTTGCTGGAATCTGTTTTTACAAAATATGCTATTTGTATATCAGCCTGTGAATGTACTAAACTTGATGTCCCTATTTTATCACCTGTAAATTGGTAATTGGAATTTTTTTTTAATGTTTTTTAGTTGTAGGTTGGACACAGTATCTTTTTATTTATCTATTTTTATGTGGTGCTGAGAATCTCACATGTGCTAGGCGAGTGCTATACTGCTGAGTCACAACCTCAGCCCAGTAATTGGAATTTACATCCCTCTTAAAGAAGTATAAATGAGAAAACTTATAACTTTCATTGTGTTAGTTGAGCTGTCCTTAGATTTTCTTTCTTCTTTCTTTCCATAGGGTGTTGAAGATGCTTTTTACACACTGGTAAGAGAAATACGCCAGTACCGAATGAAAAAACTCAACAGCAGTGATGATGGAACTCAAGGTTGTATGGGGTTGCCGTGTGTGGTGATGTAACAAGGTGAGTGTGTGATCTGATTTGACATATAACTTTGACATAATTGTAAATGTTATTTTTTAGCATTAGGCAGTTTGGAGGTGTGTTAGTGTTACTGATTCTATTGTTTGGTATTCTTTTGTTTTTGTTACTAAGAATTTAACCCAATGGTGCTTTTACCACTGAGCTACATCCCCAGCCCTTTATTTTATTTTATTTTTTTATCTTCTGATAGCATCTCACTAAGTTGTTTAGGGCCTCACTCACTAAGTTGCTGAGGCTGGCTTTGAACTTACAATCCTCCTGCCTCAGCCTCCCAAGTCACTGGATTTACAGGCATGCGCCACAGTGCCTGGCTGACTCTGTTGTTATTTAACTGAGAATTTCTGTGTAATTATAACCATCAAATATTTTCCTGATGGTACCCCTCCTGAGAGGACTGAAGTTTAACCTGTTTTTAAAACATGTAATTATTATACAGATAGCTTTCTATTTTTGATAATATTAGAAATTAGAAGAAACATATACCATCTTCTTAAGCCAGGAGTTTGAAGAATTCACTGTATAGAAACTCAGTGAAAATGACATGGTGTGTGTTCTTTTTTTTAATAGTTATTTACAAAGTTCTGTCATCAAAAAAAGAGCCACTTTCAAGGTAGGACAAGTTTGGAAATGTATTTTCATTCACAATGAGTTCCTAAACTTGTTTTTCTCGTACTGTGTGTGCCACTTACCCACATTCCATTTTTATTTCAGCTGCACTGATACCCTGGTCCTGACTTCCCTGGAGGAGAAGTATCCTTGTTGCTCTCTTCATCTCAGAGAAGCTCCTGCTACTTCCCCAACTCTCAGTAGATGAACACAACAGTCTCTGCTTGAGAATTTCTCAGAATAACTACCTCCTCACTTGGTTGTCTGACCAGAGAAATGCATCTCTTTTTATTCCCCTAATAGTTTTCCACCCTGGGTTCTCCCCTTAGAAACAAACACACCTCCACCACCCATGTTTTTCATCGAAAGCCAATTCATGCTCTGAAACAGAGAACCAAACTAGACATGAAATTCTGTTGAAAACAGTTCCTTGAGCACTAAAGTAGCAACTGCTGGTGATTTTTTTTTTTTTCTTGTTTCTTTTTACTTTGAACTTGGACCTATTTTAGCTTTTGGAGAAATGTCATGAATTAATGTTTTGCCAAGAATATAATTAATGTTGCAGATTGGTTTATTTGTAATGTTATCAACTATAGTCTATAAACTGGCATCTGCACTGTATTCATAAATACTAAAGCGAATGCTAACTTTTGAGTCGATCCTAGTCTTCTCAACTTTCATGAAATTAAATCCACCTTTCACAACAAAGTGCCTTTTTCCTAGAAGTGATTTGTAGACTTTCTTTATAATACTTCACTGGAATAGATGTGTCAAAAACCATTATACCTGAAAATGAATATCTATGACCCATCTACCTTTAAGGAAAAAATATACAATAGCAGATGCCATTGTTTATGTATGTGAAGATGGTTTTCCAGAAGCCTATTTTGGAGCTTTCCCTGGGGAAAAATGAAACTGGAAGCAATTATGGATAATTTTACTTAATTTTTATCTTGTCTCCACTTTTTTGGTAGGTTACTACCTATAAATGTATGTAATTTGTTTCTTTTAGCTTATTGATAATATCATGTTCAATGAACTTCCATTTATATTCATATTTGGGTCATACCAGAAAGCTCTACATTTGCAGTTATTCATATATTATAACAATTTGGTGTGATGTTATTTTATAGCTATAATCAGTGACTTTCAAACCTCAAATATAGTATGTTAACAGATTACATTTTCACTGCATATCATAGTCTCTTAGTGATGTATGTAACTGCCCTCAATCCCCTTCTCACTCTACTCTCTGCCCCTCACCCCACAGCAATAGGGGCTTGATTAATTATTTCAGTTGAGTAAAGCATGGTGCTAATGGACTGGGGTCACAGTTTCTAAACTTGAACAAGCCAGGTAGCATCACGCAGAGAAAAATTCCACATTTGCTCCCTGCACCAGTAACTCCAGCCAGTAGTTCTGTTGAATGCCTGTGTTAACCCTGCAAGGAAAGAAGAGGTTAATAAGCATGAATCCTCTACCATGACTAGAAAAGTTTGGTATTCTAAGGAGATTCAGCTTAGAAGTTTTTATATTTCAACCTCCCCCCTCTTCAACTTGGAAACTAAGCCAATATTTTTTTCTCATTTTTTGAGAATGAGGGTGCCTCAAAAAATTGTTTTTAATTTATAATATTCTCTGGGGGGTTTTAAATAGATGGTGATAAATTAGTCTGCATAGTAGACAAAAAAAAAGCTGATGAATTTGTTCAAAACATAAAATAGCCTTTGGGTTGAGATTGCTGAGGAAAGAATAGAAATATAATTAATTATTAGGAGTATACGGAGGAATGATATTTCCATTTATAGGTAATGCCTTGGGTAATTTTCCTTTCTTTTTTGGTGGCATGGGGATCAAACCCAGGGCCTCACATATGCTAACCATGAGCTACATAGCCAGCCCCAGGAATTCTAAGGAAAAGTAGATTTGCATAACTTTTGATAAAGGCCTAATTCCAGAATGAACATTTAATGTTCTAATGTCTGAACATTTACTGAGGTTTTTGTTTTCTAATATGAATTTTCATTTATTAAGCAAACTCCACATTATCCGGAAATGAGTTCAAGAACAGTAGAAGAAATATATACTATGCCCAGATTATAATAAATTCAAGAGTTGTGCTCCTTAGTGTTAATGCTAGGAGCATTCACAGTAGGGTTGTCACCTACAAATGAAACTCTGCTGCTTTGTGTCTGCCCCTTTTGCTCTGTCATTTTCCTGAGGCTAGATTGAGACTTACCACCTCACTTGAACTCTTATGTGTGTGTATATGTGATAGCAATGTGAACCTAAAGAGTTTTTTAAATTTAATGTCAAATTAGGGAGAAAAATAGTTAACTCCTTTTGGGCTGTAGTGGCCTTAGCCCTTGTATGTATGTATCTATAGTTTTCTTAGATATGTTGTAAGCACAGAAGTACAGAAATGGGGCCAAAATTCAGACTTGAAAATGTTCTTTAATAGCTTCTTAAGAAGTTGCACTTCGGTGTGAATTTTGGCGCGACAGAATGATATGCTTAAGAGTTAAAAGCTGAAAAGTTCAGTTAGTGTAGTATAAAACAGTTTTTAGAATACGTAATTGCTGAAAATAATTGTTTTACCTCAAATTCTCAAGGTCACTTTCCCCAATTTAAGTGCCTGGCCAGCTGTCATAAATTACATATTCCATTATGGTTTTGTTTTGTTTTTAAAGATTGCACATTGGAGAGTGTGAAAATAAGATGTTCTGCCTAAAGCTACCATACCTAATCTGTAAATGAATCTGTTAAATGCTGTATCTGCTCCAGGAGCTTACTATAGAATGTTAACTTGGTAATACAGTACACTTAGTTATTCTTTAGGAATGTAATAGATAAAATTAATCTCTCTCTCTTTTTTTTTTTTTTGGTGAGCCCCCTGTTTAGTCTTTCATCATCCTTTAAACTGCTGTGAATTTTTTCATGACTTGAAAGCAAGGATAAAGGAAAACTTTTGATTTTGAGTTTTTCCCAATCTAGAATTTCGTGATCATAGTCATATTTTGCTTTATATTTGCAGTCATGCACTCTTAAGCTGGCAGCTACAACCAAGAACCCCAAACTGGTGCATTCTACTTCTTATAATTTATCTCTGCTAATAAATTATAAGAAGCAAGGATAACTAATTAGGGAAAATATTTTTATTTGGGTAGTTTCTGTAAAGAAGGGACTAAAATTTCTTGTATTTTTTTTTTCATCTTTGCTGTTTCTTTAAGCAGTCTAATGTGCCATGAAATTATTTTAAGGTTCTTTTTTCTATAAGAATTATTTTTAAAGTGTTCTCATCAGATTAGTTGTAGATATATGTCAAAATATTACTGATTTTTAAGTCTGAGTATTGACCTGACAAGCAAGTATTTGAACTCCATTCTGGAGTGTAGGGTGGGTACCAATTAAATTTGTGTGACATTTTATTTCTGTGCCATCAAATATAGGTAACAATATCAGTTGTGCAATTCTGCTGTTTAAATGGGAACTGTTGGCCTCTTTGGCCCTAAATAAAAGGGCTACTTTAAGTTGATTATTTTATTGTAAATTAATCCATCCTAATTTTTTAAAATTTGGTTGAATATTTTTCTTGTTAAATAATGTTTAAAAAATAAAAACTGGAAGTTCTTTGCTTTGTCATTATTTCTTTTTTCCTACTGACGTGTCTTTATAGAAAGCTAATATTAATTTTAGACTTTTGGATGTGACATTTGGACAGTATTAGAAGAGTTGAATTCTTCATTTTATTTCACTTTCTGTGGTTTTAGTTACTCCAGAGTCCTAAAATATCAAATGGAAAATTCCAGAAACAATTCCTAAGTTTTAAATGATACCCTCTCCTGAATACACAGTGAAATCTCACACTATCCAATCCATCCCAACCAGAATGTGAATCATTCCTTTGTCCAGTGTTTCCACACTCTATATACTACCTGCTCTAAAGTCAATTATTATCTGTCTCTGATATCAGATCATCTATGAAGATATCACAGTAGTTAATTAAAGTAACCCTTTATCTGCTATTGGTCCCAAAGTACAAGAGTAGTGATGCTTATGTATTGTTAGTGATTATTCATTTAAATCTCTTACTGTGCCTAATTAATAAATTACCACAGATGTGTATGTATAGGAAAATATACATAAGGTAGAAATATAATGCTTGTTTAGTACTATCTGCAGTTTTTAGGCATCCACTGGGGACCTGAGAATGTATCCCACAAGGGGACTATATAAAATATGTCAAGGCTTGTTTTAAACTATTACCTTAGGGATGATTCATAGCAGTTTGTCAGATTCTCAGAGAAATATAAAGCACTTTAAAACTATCACTGAAATATTTAATGTATCTTTGCATTACTGCTTCATCTAGCAGTCTTGGCATAGTTGGAAAAGCTTTGGTCTAGGAACTACAGAACCTGGGTTCCAACTATAATTTTACTACTACAACTCATACTTTCTTCATTTACAAAATTGAGAGGGGTCAGTTAGGATATCTCATATTTTCCAGTCCTAAGAAGATAGAATGGGGGCTGGAGATGTGGCTCAACTGGCAGCGCGCTCGCCTGG